TCCCTAAACCATTGCTCCAGCAGGTAAGGGAGCAAAATACCAGCCCTTGCCAGCATCACTAAGGCATAAATGGGCGACTGGCTTCTTGTGTTCAACACTATGAAAGTGTTGCCAAGATCTAGCCTCCCACCAAGCAGAACTTGCATTCCATACTGCTACGTGTAAGTGGGCTGGGCACGCCAAGAAATCAAGAAAGATCCAAGTCCAAGTGATCCAAGTGCACTGCCGCTTAGCTCTCTCTCCTTTCTGTTTTTCTGGAGGGGCTTAAGACGACAGCTGAGCTACATACCCACGGTTAGGACACCCGAGCCAAGGAACTGGGTGTGCCTGAGCAATTAACATTTAGCTAAGAGGGAAGCACACAGCAAAAGCTGGTTGTTGGAGCTCTGGGGACCAGATCTGACCCGTCATCATGTCAGTGTTCTACCTGCAACTGAGAAATGCCAGTAGGATGGATAAACCTGCCATAAACACCACAGAAGCTCTAGACGATCTACCCAGAAATGCGGGAGGCCGAGAGTAACAGTACTAATGAGGATGGCTACCATTTCCTGAGCACCAGATACCACATCAAGTATCTCTTATAGATCCTCTTTCACCCTCACTAGGAAGTTGGTGTCCTGATTCCTATCTACTGAGGAGGAAACAGAGGCCTGGAGAGGTTAAGGACTTTGCCCAAGTGATCCAGCTAGTAAATGTCTGGCTCCAAGCTCAGAGCCACGGTGGTGTAGCCACAGAAGGGGGAACCGAGTTGAGATTCCTGAGAGGTAGCCAGAAGGGAAGAACCCACAAGGCAGAGAGGGAAAGAAATGAGGACGCAAGAGACTAGCCTAAACCACTCCTAGTTAGGGACTTTCAGTCTAGAATGCTCCTGAAAAAGTCTAGAGTGCCTTCCCAACTCTGTGTTTGAGAAACCAGCTTTCTCTCCTCCTGGGTCTGGGCCTAGGGAAGGCAGACATAAACAGGTCACCAGCCAGCTCTGCGGGTCCAGTCACATTGCCCTCCCTGCTTTTTATAGATGGAAAAACGGATGCTGTGGATTTCATGCTCCCTTCCTCCCCACCCAGGTGGGTGACAGGGCCAAAGGTAGATGCTAGCAGGAAGTGCTTGAGAGAGAGGCCGTGGTATGACACAAGCTAGATAATCCAGATAGAGCTGGCAATAGGATTCCTCAGAGACAAGCTTTCTCCCTCACATGGTTCAAAGTTGTAAGAAGACTACCACTCAGGACAACGCAAGCAGGTTTTAAGAAACCACCCCAAACCTTGTTTTTATCCCTTATTACCTAGTTATAAAATCCCAATTATCTATTAAGGCAGGAGAGCTGCATCTTGTGATTTAAAGCAGTGTTTCCTTCCATCCCAGGTTTTCCTATTCTTCTTTGGGTTTGAAACACACAGTCTACACTAGATGTTCTCCAAGGTGACTTCTTCTACTGGGAGACCAGACTTCCTCCACTGGGAGACCTGCTTTGCTGTTCATGGTTTCTACAGAACCTGTGCCTCAGCTCCAGGGCTCTTTGCTAAGAGGTACGGCAAAAGATGAAATGATCACCGGTGATTCTCAACTTTTTCTGAGATACCAAGAGCAGAAATCTCAGTCTGATGAGTCTCAACCTCCTTGACACAATCTAGCCGTTACAGTAGATGGGGACGGAGGTGGGAGCACAAGATCCAGTACAGGAAAAGCAAGATCTTATTCTCTGACAGGTTTATTAGCTTTCAAATTAATATAGGTTTTTAATCCTTGCAACCCTTTGTCAACTTCTCCCAACAATGACAGAGGCAATGAGGTATACTAATGGCCTCTTAAAAGTCAAACCAGCGACTTCCCTGGCGGCCCAGTTGTTAAGACTCTGTGCTCCCACTGCAGGGGGCATGAGTTCGATCCCTGGGGTCAGGGAACTAAGATCCCACATGCTGTATGGTGCAGCCAGAATATACCCAAAAGTCAAACCACATAAAGATGGTGGCTTTGGTTCCTCGGGCTGCCTCCTGAAATGATCTGACATTGCTCTGGGTACGGGCTGTAATAGCAACAGCACAATTGCAGAACAACGAAGCAGAGGAGCAGAAGGTGCCTACACAGTTTTACCTC